CATAATCTGAAACTATCAAGTCTGAATCCAAGCTGAAGCTCTCAGCCGCTACCTGTTCTGCTTCTATAAACAAAAACACTTATGCAGGCCCTGCTGCTGGTGCAGGTAAGCCATAGGCCCCACACAAATGCCTGCACCCATCTTTTCTCCAAGAGACAACGTCACAGGCAAAGGAGAAATTGGGCCTAAGGGCATGTCTTGGGCAAGCAGTTAAGATGAGAACAAGAAATTTCAGGCATCAGTAATTTTGGTCTAACAGTATTATTCCAAGAGCGAGGGATAGCAGCAACTGTTGTCTTCATCTGACTTCACGTGGACTCTCCATCAGTCACAAACTCAAACTAAGTAAGCTCCCATGGGTTCCTAGCCCAGTACACCACAGCCAGTTATGAACAAATGTAAGACACTTATGAGGTACTTTTTTATGGTTGCCATGCTAAGGCTGATCTCAGAACATTGGCTGATATGCCACAGTGACACTTGTTTTTTTAATGCTCTTGAAGAAGTCCAACCTTAGCCAGTTTTTACCAACAGTGGCAACTAAGTCCTTAAAGAGCAGAAACCTGTTCCTCAAAGGTAAGAAGTAAGTGAATTTGAAAGCAGATTTGGAAGTTGGAAGAAACAAATTTGCCCTTCTATTTTGCCTAATACATTATCACTTTCCATATAATCTGTTGCAACACTTCCATTAGAAATACAACGCAAGCCACATAGATAATTTTAAATTTCTAGTAATCACCTGAAAATTAAAAAGAAATATGTGAAATTAATTTTAGTAATGTTATTTTACTCAATATATCCAAAATACTATCATTTTAATGTGTAATCAATGTAAAAAACCAGCAAAGACCTATTTAACAATTTTTTTTTGTACAGTCTTCAAATCAAGTGTGTATTTTACACTTAAAATCCATCTCAATTCTGACTAGCCGCATTACAAATGCTCAACAGCCACATGTGGCTACTGGCTGCTGTATTGCACAGCACAGGTCTAGAGTTTTGGAAAACTAAACATCCTCTTTTTTATTTTTCTTCATGTATGAGTTTACGCTTGGTGTTGGCAATCTGGCACCTTTGGCTCTTAGGTTGTGTATGGGAACTCCTTTCATTTGATTCTGTTTCTGGATCAGCTCAAAATTACAGTTTTTGCTTTCTTTTTCACTACTCTCCATCAAGCTTCCTTTAAATATTTCTTAGTGAAGTAATCTTTCAAACTTCAGGATGGGAATACCTCATTAAGGACAGAGATAATCAATCCATACCAAGTTCTCAACTTAGAGGTAGCACAGACACCTCCACCAGAGACTAGGACTTTCCAGCCACCCCAACCTCCTTGACTCAGACTAGACATTGTTCTTCCCCTCACTCCTACCTTAGACCAGTGAAGTTATTTATTCTTTTTAGAATCAATGTCACCATTCAATAGGAATGCCAAAATGTCCAGATATCTCCAAATGTGGTCATAGAAACACAATTCTTTCACATAAGATATATTTGGAGACTAGAACTAGGTTTTGTTAACAAAGAGTGGCAAGAGAGCTGAAGTTCAAAAGGTAGCATGTGAATTAGAAAACAACTATAGCTTCAGATATAAATCCAGATAAAAAACTGCTTATCCTGTTAGTCAGACCATACAAACTTACTTGTGGCCAGATTCCAGTTACCTTAAAGAAATAAATCTATTTCTATAAACTCATCTGCTTTGTTTCCAGGTGGTTACAGTGTTCTTTTTCCTATATCAATGAATCCAAAATAAAGAATTGAACCCTCCCCCCCCCCCCCCCAGTATGGAGTCTTCTAGGGGGCATGGTGGCTTGAGCAATGGAAAAGTTTTCTGTCCAAGCTCGAGAAAGAGGAAGGAGAACTGAAACAAGGCAGGATGAGACAGGAAGGCCAGCTGGGAGTAATCAAGGCAGCTGGGATTACTGTTCCTATCTCACTGGTGCTTCTTGGGCAATCTTCTCTAGTGGGGGCTCAGTTGCAGTTGAGAATATAAACTCCTAGTCTCCAGTTTCCACAGGCAATAATAAGATATAGATTTAATTCAAGAACACTCACCCTGAAAACCTCCATTTTCTAAATGGGTAGAACACAGCTTACACTAGAAAACCTTTGCTCCCATATGAAAGAAGTGATGTACCAGATTTGGGGAAATTGGTAGGCTCTGAACCTGCAGTACCAGACCTACTGTAGTCCTACCAGAAGAACTTCTTCTCCCTTCTTCTCTTGACTATCCGGATCCCCACATGCCTCATCATTCCCATCTTCATCGTTTTCTTGGCTCCAAAACAGACCTACCAGCCTGATGAGACAGGACTGCACTCTTGCTATTTACAGCTGTTTACTGAACCATCTGATCTAGTCTCCCAGAAGTTCCAGAGGTTATTTTCATGGCCCTAAGCTCCACTCTGTCCCTTACCTCCCCACAGCCCACAGGAGATAAGACCATTTTAGGCATCTGAACCTAGAGCATAAGGCCCATTCCTGGGAGTTAAGCGTTAGGTTGATGGGGGAAAGGAAAGGAGAGCGCATGAGCAGAGGAAATACAAAAGATGAAATTCAATATAGCAATAGTGGTGAACAGGGAGAAAGTTGAGGTAAACTGGAAAGACTTAGGGGGAAGGGCTACATAAAGAGCATATATGTTTGAAAAACAAGTGTTTCTAGACTTAGGACAGAGAGAAATTTATTTCAGACATTAAGAGTCCTCTTGGGAAAATTATGTTTAAATGAGGATTTAATATTATCCTTAAACTGGGATCGTTTCATTATAGCCAGTGTACGAAAAGCTGGGCCATGAAGCATAATATGCTATGGACATATTATTTTTCTTCATCACCCACAATGCAGTGGCTTAATTGGAAATAGGAATGGACATGTGAAACATTTGTTGTTAATGATAGGGCATGGTAAGAGCGTGAAAATCTGACTCACTCACTCATTGAGTATAGGCTTCATCCGAATATGTGCAGTGGTAAACAGAAATGCCTTAGAAAGCTTCTGGGTGCCAGAAATAGGAGTGAGGGAGTTGGAGAAGATGCTGTCTTTCTACCTCAGAAAGTCTGAGTTCCAGGATTGGGATTGCAATTGTGTTTCAGGTGATGGGGTATAGCTGAGCAAGATACTACCTCTGTTGCTTTGAATGTGTCTCTAAAGGGAACTTTGGATTGGATATCAACCTCATTTCATCTGGCCAAGCTAGTACTGACCATAAGTAATGCCTAAGGATAAAAATAATTCTGATATACTCTATTCTTCTAATGCTACCACCTTTTCATAAACAAAAGCAGAAATTCCAGGGAGGCTCCTTCTACTGCCTGGGTTATGTATTGTCAGTGTGCCAGAACCAAAGGCTTTCACTCAGGAAGAGGCAAAATTAGGAAGAATAACAAATCAAAGAAAGAAGAAATTGTGATAGACAGGAGAGAAGTAAACAAAAGTGAAGACACCAATGAATGATACCATAGCTCTTGTCTACTGAGAACACTTCAGAAGCAGAAGCAGAAGCAGAGAATAACAGCTTAGCAGCTTTTCTCACATGAAGCGCCAAGTCATAGCTGGTCCTGAGAGAAGCTGCAGGAGCTGTCCTATCCTAAGAAGGAAAATTGAACTATTGTAGGGACTCCATGAGATCTGAAGAAAGTATGTGATCAGCGTTGTGGGCTCTATTTATTTCCTACGTTGTTTTGCATGTAAACTGAGAGGTACATTCCTTTCTACTGCCCTGGGCAGCAGTTGCAAAGCAGTCTAGCATCTGCATGCTATGTGACCATAAATCAATAAGATAATTTACTAAGACAGCTGGTTGGGTGTGGTGAAAGCAGATTTTTATTTCATAATTGGTGTGTCAGACCCTGTCTTGCTCCCTTGACTACACCAGATAAGAATGTGGAGAGAATTTTGGTGGAAAGTGACAATAGAAGCCAGATAACCTGAAAGGCTGTGAGTACTGGGGTGATGTCATAGCCACATATCACCGGTGGCTGTCTTTTGGAGTTCCAGAAGATATGCTTCATAGGAAGCCTCATGGCATACCCAGACTGAAATGGATATGAATAGACTATGCCTAATCGACAGTTTTATTAGACATCCAATAGTTTGGGGTTCCAAAGTGTTAACTCTCACATAAATCAAAAAGATTTCTCAAGAAAATAAACCAGTAATAAAAATGACTGCAGGGATGGAGGAGGGCTAAAACGGAATGGATATCTTCTATGCCAAGGTAAATGGAGTGTGAGATGATGATCTGCCTTCTATTCGGAGGGCACAGGGGAAGCAGTGTGCTTAGAATAATAATTATAATAGCAACTCATTTAATGTCTATGTAATTTAATGTGTATACATTCGATGTCCTGAACAAAATTTTCATACTTAGTTTATTCACTCTTCAAAACAACAAGAAATAAGGAGAGGTTGGACAGATAGAAAATCTTAAAAGAGAGTAGGAGGAGCGGCAGAGCCAGAAGATGGCAAGTCTGCCACAGGTGCCAAAGAAGACAGTCAGGGATGTTCAGGGTAAAGCACTGGACTTCAAGAGCCAAAGACTTGGGATGAACATCTATACTTCAGTCCAAGCAACCCTTCACAACACAAAAGCCATGTAGGGATCTGCTCGGCTGAATCAGGAGACAGGAGAAGCATCTATATCCTTTGCAAATCAGGAGTCAGGCAGATCCTTTTAAGGACATCATATAAAGTTTGTTTCTTTAGTGCTCAAACACTCCCACTCTAATCCAGCTCCATTTGGCTAAGACTTGGCAAGATCATCAATTATGGATTTGGTCAGGGAAAACTCTCAAGTTTCCAATCTAGGAAAGAGAAGTTTTCTCTGAAGCAACAGTAAACAAGGATTCACAGAAGAATGTTTTCATTGTTGTCTAAATATTAAGAAGAAGGAGAATCAGAACTCATTCCAGGATTAAAAAGTGAAATTTCCTTTCCAACATACAAATAATTCCTGACTTTTGTTAATAATTCCAAAGGTGAGTCTGATCCTTTTTACCTCTTACAACCTCTTCAGTAGCTTCTGGATTCCCTGCTTGATCTCCTTGGTTCTCACACCATAAACAATGGGGTTCAGAGCTGGGGGGATGAGGTGGTGCAAGATGTTGAGCAGGATGGGGACATCTGGCGGAATTCTCTTCCTGGCCAGGTTAGTGATGACCAGAACCAGCAGGACTGTGCTGAAGAAGAGGATGAGGATGAAGTGGGAACCACATGTGCTCAGGGCCTTGGCCACAGCACCCTCAGCCTTGATCCTTAGCACAACTTTCAGAATAAAGGAATAGGAGACAACAATAAAAATTAGGTCAGAGCCCAGTAGGGTCCAGCCTACCACAAACTGGTAGAGCTGATTGAAGGTGATGTCATCACAGGAGAGTCTGGACACAGACAGGTTAGTGCAGATGCAGTTCTTGATGATGTTCTCTGCACAGTATCTGAGTCTGGAAGAAAGAATTGGAACAGGGAGAAAAAAGAGGCCATTGCGGGCCACAGCAAAGATGATAGTTCTAGCCACAAATTGGTCAGAGATGATGAATGGGTATTGTAATGGGTGGCAGATGGCCACATAGCGGTCATAGGCCATGACCATGAATGTGCAAGACTCCATAGCAAGGAAGCAATTCATGATGAACATCTGGAGGAAGCAGGCTGAGAAGCTGATGGACCTGAGGTCAAACCAGAAGATGGCCAGGACCTTGGGGATGACAGTGAGGCAGAGCACCATGTCCAGCAGAGAGAGGAGGCTGAGCAGATAGTACATAGGCTCGTGCAGAGAGGCCTCCAGCCAGATGGTGATCAGAAGGGTGGCATTGGCCCCCATGGCCAGAAGGAAGAGGAGGCTGAGAGGCAGGGACAGCCAGTGCTGCCAAGTCTGGTAGTTAGGGAAGCAGATGAGGAGGAATTCAGAGACTGGAGCAGTGGAGTAGTTGCTGGGAAATGCCATATAAAGTACCCTGTACAAGCTAGAAATCCAGAGTCTCTTAAAATGTAGTCCCTTAAAATGTAGAATATATCACTATCGAAACTATAATATATATAGTGAAGTGCTAGAACTCGGGTTTCCATTGGGACTCTTAATCTGTCCCAATGAAGTTTTCAAATCATCATCATCAATTAATCATTGCTGACATTTAACTTAACACTTACCACGTGCTAGGCATTATGCTGAATATTCATACCCATTATCTCATTTCACCCTTTTAAAAAAAAACACTTAAGAGCAGTCAATATTGTTATACTAATTTCACAGATAATGCAAAGGTACAGGTAAAGGGGAGCAGGATAATTTGATCAAAATTAAAGAGCCAGTAAGTGGTGAAGCCACAACTGAAAACTAGACAGTTTGACTCTAGAGTCTCTGCTTTTACCCACTATGCACAACTTAGCCTCACCAAGCAAGGTGACTTAACTAAGCCCTTCCTTCCTTCAGAGTGTAGAAGAGATAGCTATAGGGAAAGCTCTGTTTAGCTGACTCCATGGAAGTCCTAGAAAAGCCCTCTACTGCATACAATTGGACAAGGATTGACTTCAGGATTCCTTATTTTCACTCTTCAGGAAATATTGGATTAGAAATAGAGCAGCCCTTGACCCCAGCCGAAGGCCCTTAATTTCCTCCAGCCCCAACAGGAATTTCACCTTAAAACCATAATGCTTATCATTCTTTTACTGGATTATTTGCTGTTATTTCTCTTTGTGAAGGTTCAAAAGTGTTTTCTTTGGTTGAATCCTTTAGAATGGACTGTGAGTTTCCTATTCTGATGACAGAGACAGCCAATATTGAAGGGTACACCAGGAACTTTACCAAAGGTTAGGGTCAGAAACTAGCTAGTCAGTGAGTTTTAGATCTATAAACCTATACAGAATTTATTGACCTGGTAAGTAAAATTATCAGTGTTTCCTTGTGGTCAGGATCTAATTATCCTAGCATATGGAATCTATGTTATGCAAACTCATCTGCTTTGCTTCCAGTTGTTTCTTTTATTGGGTATCATCTTTTTACTCTCACTACTAAACAAAGAGCAGAGTAGCCAAATATAAACAAAGGTGACAATAATGGATGTCACAGCCAAAGAAGGAGGAAAGAGGCAGGGAGTCTCGGCAGGATAGCTAAGAGACATACAATCAGTGTAGCTGGGATTACTGATGCTGCTCACCTGTCCCATCTGATATGTCTCCTCCAGGAGGGTTGAAGTGTGTATGAGAAGGGATCAGACTCTAGCTGCCATCAAAGATAAGATACAAGGACTTTCACTTTGAATATCTCAGACTTTCCAAATACAGATTATACAATACACAGACACACACACACAGATACACACACACACACACACACACACACACACACATTCTACACATTGTTAGACTTAAAGCAAACCAAAGATTCAGAAGTTAAAACCAGGGTAGGGACAATTATGTTGTATATCGGTTCCGTCCTGTATTTCCATATTTAATTAGGAAAATTACCCTGAGTATGAATCAGAGAAACAAGAAGGATAGGAAACAAACCCACCTTTCTGAAAAGACTTCTCCTTTACAATAACCTCTAGTCTGGATCTTTAGAATGACTTGATCTATTTGAACAGGCAAGAAAATAGTCAGTAGCTTCTCATATCTGGTATTAATGTTGAGCATACTAATGTATAGCATGTATTAAACAAAAACCATTATCTTCTGAGAACATACAGATTAATAAAGTAAAATTAACTTACAAGCACTTATAGTGCAGTATAGTTGTGGCTCTAATAAAGATTACATTACAAACAGTGGGAAAGAGACAAAAGTAGACGAGGGCCCAGCCCAGTGGCGCAGAGGTTAAGTTCGCACGTTCCACTTCACGGCGGCCCAGGCTTCGCCGGTTCGGATCCCGGGTGCGTACATGGCACCACCTGGCATGCCATGCTGTGGCAGGTGTCCCACATATAAAGTAGAGGAAGACGGGCACGAGGTTAGCTCGGGGCCAGGCTTCCTCAGCAAAAAGAGGAGGACTGGCAGTAGTTAGCTCAGGGCTAATCTTCCTCAAAAAAAAGAAAGTACAGATGAATGGAGCAATGTGATATGGTTGAAAAGTTGGCCTCAGACAGAAATGAATTCCAAGTCTGCCTCTATACTCACTGTATAACCTTGTCAGTTATTTGAACTCTGTGGTAGCTCGTTTTCTAGTTTATGAAATAGAGAAATTATATCTAACTCCAGTGTTCTCGTGGGAAGGGAAAAGAGCTATAATTTCCTGAGGTCCTCTTAGGCATGGAGACATGACAAGCTGAGATCATCAGAGAAGGATACAAAAAAGAGGTAACATTCACCTGGAGGAGAAGGGGGACTGTCCTGGTAGTCCATGGTAAGAGAAGAAAGACTAGCCTAAGTGGATGTTCAGTAATGATCAATTATGAAGTGTTAGGGGCTGGTAGATCCTAAGTCTTTGGGGAAAGGAGGTAAGAGAGCATCAGGAGTCAAAGTTTAAAGATGTGCAGGGACAGCTTTGTGCGGTCCACCTGATAGTAGGTGTTATCATGTACACTGTTAAGAACCATAGAAGATTTGAAACAGGGAAGTGATGTGCTATTGATAGAACAAGTGGGAATCACACAGAAGGGATGGAGGGTTTTGGAGAGTCCTGAATAGTCCAAAGGAAAAGTTATTAAGATCTGAACAAAGGCCATGCAAGTGGACACAAAAGAATGTATTTGAGGGGTGGGGAGGACTACAGGATTTAGTGTAAGAAAGGATGAGGAAGCAGAGAGAGACTGGAGTCAAGAACGCCACTGAGGATCTTTTAACTGATACAGGGAAGAAATGTCCTTTTCAGACCTCCTTTACCACTGACATATTCTCCCAGGTAGTAATATACTTTCATCTCTGTTTTATAGTTGCTTTTAAATTCATTAATAGCTGGGACCATTTTCCTCTCTCTCTCTGTATTCTCCTCAGTGAAACTGAGGCCTCCTAACTGAGAAATGAAGAATCATTGTCCAACTGTGGCATCACTTTGATCTTTAATACTCCAATTCCATCAGTTTGTATTCACAGATTCATATTCATAAAGGGGTGGTCATAGTGGTTACTTGTTCTAAGTGCTAATGAACAAAACATGGTCTCTGACCATGAGATATTGACTCTGAAAAGGGCAGACAAGTCTTAAATAATCAAAATCACAACAGAAGATCCCAGCCAAGCTATGATTGCCTAGAAAAAGGAGTGATCATCTTGGCTTATAGATGAATTTAGACTAGTGCAGAAAAGATTCTAACATAGTCAGGCACAGAACCCTGGCCTCCTAGCCATGATATGGGTGGGGGTCTTTGAACCTACAGAGGTTTTGGGTGCACAAACCTTGTATGGCTGCAGAACAGCTCAGCATCAGTTCTGAAGGAAATAACAGCATTAGGTCTGTCCCTGTCACTCACGCTTATACCAGGATGTAAGCATCCTGGCAACTTCAGCATCTCCACCAGGCCCTACTGAAAGAGTTCCATCTCCTGTACCTACCAGTCTCCTGGACTCCCCTCCTTTCCTCGTTATCTCCTTCCTCATAACTTTTGTGGCCTCAACTTGAGACTCACCAATCAGAAGGCTGAACTGTGCTGTTTCTGGCTGTTGGAAAAAACACCTGAACTGGCCCATTCAAGGGCTCTAGAGACTGATTTTATGGGCTCTGGCTCCAATATGTCCCTTTGCTCCCCATTGCTCATGGAAGTTGGCATCCTTGTTGGGCGCCTGGGCCCTTGAGGCCCTCTGGTCTATTCCTCAAGACAGTATATTATAAAAGTCTTAATTCAGCATGTGGATAGAGTGAGGGCAGGAGAGTCAAAGGCTCATGGGGAGTCTAAATAAAGAAAAAGAAGCCCTGGGCAAAGAAGGGTAGGGAAATTGAGTGATGAGAATCTTCTCAGGAAAAATTTCTTTGGACACAGCTGTGGGGAAGAACAGAATAACCCATCCTCAGCACTTTAGATCTGTGGAGGGAGGTGACAGAGGAACATCCCAAACAATCAAAGGAGATGGATCTCACAGGAGCATGGGCCATAGGCAACTGAGTTGGGGGCAGGGAGTACTTTCCCTGTGAGCCCTTCTCAGTAGTGTGAGCATCATTGGTCTGGACCCAAGCAAATTCCTGGGAGTGGCCCTGTTTATGCTCATGGTCTCATGTCCAATTTTTACTTCCATGATTGTTCTTTGTCTAAACTCTGTTTCCTAAGTATGGCTGCAAAAAATGCTACTGTTAACAGTACTCACCTTCCACAGAGCAACACTTGGCATTGCTTCCTTGGGAACCAAGTGGGATTGTCACGAGTACAGCCACCATTCTGAACTGATGCACAAAAGGACCTAGAAAATAGCCTCTCTTATAAAGGTGTCTAGATTCTTATTAGGATAGGGATGCTCAGTCTAAATGTAGCATCTTTCGGGATTTGGGCACAGGAATCTTGGAAAGAGAAGACTAAGTGTAGTCTGGTTTTGGATCTCACACGTTCCTACCCACAACTGCTGGAAAAGGAGTCATCAGGGCAGAAATGTAGATGGAATGCAGTCTCGATCCCTCCATGCACTAACTCCTCTCTTGTCCCTACTGCTCCATTGCTATGTAGAGTCCTGAATGGAGCAAGAAAGCCCTTGGCAGCACCAAAAAGAGTTGATAGTCATGCTAAGCGAAGGCAACTATTTCATCCGTGAATCAAGGTTCAACGAAAGTATCTTGCTAAGAGCGTGTAGTCTACTCTGGGCAAAGAATCTTGGACCTTAGGGTTTCTTATAAATGAATAATCCCTCTCCACTCTCAAATCATAGGGATGTTGGGAAGAGACAATTGGACTTAAGTTCGAACCCTTGTCCTACCACTTCCTGCTTGCTTGCCCTTGGACAGCTTTCATAAGCTCTCAGAACCATGATTTCCTCATCTGAAATATGGGGATGATGAACCTTCTGACAGAGGGTTGCTGCAAAGATAAAATTACTTTTACA